ACTAAGGACTAGGGACGTAACCCCAAATCCCCTCGACATAGTTACAATCACCTGTCGAGACAAACACCACCAATACTACCAACAAAATTACCATGTTTGACATAAAGCGGGAACCGTTTTATACTGACGTACGGTAACCTACTATACTTGTTATCGACTAAGGGGACCCCCGACGATTGTGAAAGCAAAAACGTTACACGTCATTACAAAGGAAGATTAAGGTAACCGAAGGAAAAAGGAGGAGTTAAGGACGAAAAAGGAGGAGTAGGGACGAGGACCACCGAAGGTCCTGTACCAAACAGGAATCCCTCAATCTCTCTCTCTCTCTCTCGAGTTTGCAACAACTAAACCTTTAATATCGACTTTTTGAACAGCGCCCGAGCAGGTGAAAAAGAAAATTGACGGCCAACACAAATTTTTTACACAGTTAAACAACTAAAATGCTCCGTTTGTGTTCAAACAAATGTTGAATAAGGTTCCGAAGTGCGGGGGGAGGGGGCACGTTAGTCGCGACGCGGGGGGATCCCCGGGGGGTCCAACCCTTGGTGACCAGATACGACGTAGGGGAGAGCGTCGACACACAGACACATAAGTCGGTCCTACAGATATATGGTACAGATATATATATGTATATTACCGTGAAAGATCGCATTTTGGGATTCTTTCTTGTACAGTTCGATAAACGTCATAGTCTTTGTTACTCGTCGCAAAAACCCTCATTGGTACCAGACACAAATGTATCGTTCGTACGCATTGTGAGTCTCATTGTGACATGACCTCTCTTATACACATTGCATTACAGGAACGCCATTTTGGACGGCTCTCTCTTTCAAACTCTACGGTCATGACAAAAGTCTTTATTACGAACTTCACACAAACCTTGTATATACGTAAATTAGTGCCCGTCGCAATATCCGACTCAAAGAGGCCCATCTTTTGAGAATCGTCCCTTTTCGACGCACTACGAGGGTAAAAATTACCACTAATCTAAAAATTTACGATCTGTGCAATTTGTCAAAAAAGACTGACACACGGAACAAAGGACGTCTCAGGGTCGACGAACCACCACCCAATTTACTTCTTCGAAGAGGCGGACTGTTCGTCCTCACCTCGTCGGTCAGAACCTTTGTCCTCCTGTGTCTCGGGGGGGGGTGTGTAATCGTCGTCTTGTCCTCCTTTGAGTCCTTCAGTCCTCCCTCTCGCGAAGTCCTAGACCTCCCTCGACTAATAGGGGTCAAGTAAAGGAGGACTGGGACACTCTCACTTCTAACTATTTCTCTTTGGAGTCAGGAGTTGTCGGAGTAGTTTCTGTTTGAACTTGTGTACCCTTTGTCTTCGACTACCTCTACTGACAGCGTCCTTGTCCTTGGTCGTTCCTTGAGTCTAGGTGCCTCTCGTCAAATGTTAGTTTTCTGACTCCTGCTGTGACCTCTGAGAAGACTTGCACTGTGACCTCTGAGAAGACTTGGACTGTGACTTGTGTACGACTAACCTCCCTTCTGGTTCTCCCTTGGACGCAGTCCGAGTTTGAAGTGCCTTTTATCCTGGTTCTTAGACAGTCACTTAAGTCGGCAATCACGACAATTTCTTTGTTAAACCGACGAGGCCACACACTGCTTTATAAAATTTTATAAATCTCTTCTACAAAGTCGCTGTGTACTCTTAAGTGTGTCGTCTCTTGGTTAGTTGAACGGAGCCAAACATGGTTTTAGAAAACGTAAACTCACTTCAAGATTTTTTTGTGTACTCTTCGGTGTGTCCCTCTCTTTGGTATGTCCTACGAGTCAGACATTTTTGAAAAACGTAGTTTTTCTTTACATTTCAGCTGTGTACTCTTGAGGTGTGTCCTCTCTTTGGGAAATCTACGAGTCAACATTCTTTGGAAAGTCTCTCCGTTCAAATTTTTTTTTGTGTAACTCTCAGGTGTGTCCTCTGCTTTCGGTAGTCCGACGAGTCAGACATTCTTTAGAAAACTGTGTGGATCTGTTACATTTAAGTTGTGTACTCTTTAGGGTGTGTCCTCTCTTTGGGAAATCGACGAGACACATTCTTTCGAAAAAGTTGTTCCCTTCAAATTCAGTGGTGTAGTCTCAGTGTGGTCCCTCCCTTTATAATTCGAACGTTACAAACACTGTCTTCTAAATTTACCCGTATTACTAAAGTTTTCTGTGTTCACACAATCAGTGTTTTTTGTCTTCTTTCAATCCCATTAGTACGGAGAAGCCATCGATTAACTATATAGGTATAGACATACCTATAGCCTCTACGTCTAGGAGTTGTCGCGAAGTTCGACTGTAGTAATATTGTCGTTCGAATACACCACCACATCCTCTCTCTGATCATCCACTTATTCACGAATTACTGTCAAGTAGGAGATCTGGTTCCAGGACACAAGGACGTAAAGTGCGACTAGACTTAGGCGGAGCGAGGAAATTCCTAACACAGACGGCAATATGTTACCTAGTCGATCAGATCACAGATATATTCGCAAGGGCGATAATATGACAAAAAGTCTAGTACATATAAAATCAAGTTTATAAAGTTTTTTACAAGACTTCCAAACCCTAAGTTTTTATGGATTGTCTAGTAACTGATCGATGACGGGTATATTTGGGCAGACAAAGTGGCGGGACTAAAGTTTTACAACAAGAGACCACGACAATGGAATCTACTTTTTCCATCCCTCGGTGAAGTATCCGGGGTTAGACTCTCTATAAACCAATTTTTCTTGTGCTTACTCAACAGATCCTCTCTAGTCTTCATCTTTTCCACGCCAACCATAAGACCAACCACTGAACCAGATAACCTAATTGTTTTGTTTTAGCAATACTGTAGTAACATAATTCCACAGGTTATTGACTAGTCTATATGTCACAGTCTGTCAAAAACATATATTACTAGCCACTTTTTTTCACTGTTATGCAAAAAGGAACTTTGAAAGTCTTAGGGAAATGTGTCTCCCCTGGTGTACAATACATTTAGTTAATATGTCCTTTTCTACGTAAAAGTACTAGCGGGGGTAAAATTACGTCGGGACCAAACGTAAGTAATACAAATACATGTACTCTTACATAAGACAAATTAGACTAACAAACTGAAGACATTAGACATTCTCTTTTATGTTATTAACGGCATAAACACACCTTTATACTCATCCAATTATCACAATCTTAAAAATATATATACGCGCAAATCTATATAGGTTATACACAGTTAAAGATTTAACTTGGGAGTACACTAGTAGTCTCCATAAACAACAAATCCTACTAGCAAATGTAAGATGACGAGTCCTGGTTACAAAGTGGCAGCAAAGGACGCGATCACGTGCCGACCGGAAGAGTAAATCCACCTGGCTGGAATAGTCACCAGGTCGATAAGAAATCAAAGAATTACGTTTGCAAAACATTTCACTACGATCTGGTTTTTCTGCACGAAAACCTAACACACGAGAGACGCTCCCTACCACACGATATAGAAACATGAGATTTATTAACAAATACTTTACTCTGAGAAATGAGAACACAGAACAACAGGTTTCGTTGCGGTCTGTCTCACGCTATACAGAAGAAAGGTCTGCTACCGTATTTACAACGTAGTAGGTCAAGTTGACAGTAGGTGGGTAAATAATATTAAGTTTTGTCGTTACACAATTCTATACCGATCAATATGTGTATTGTCTTACACCTCTCCATGTCAGAAACTCCCACAGGTACAGGTTATACAAATAAAAAACAAACTAAAATTTGGATGACTTTACTGTAAGTATACTGATTTATAGAATTATAGCAGTATGTAGTACTCAACGTAACGTTAAATCATACACCAGGGGTATATTGGGTTGAAATAAAACAAGATTCAACGCCCCAGTATAACTTCTAAGGCGCACAAAGTGGGTTTGAGATGAAACACGAGGCTATTACGACTTTCGTCGCGCGCACATATTGCTCAATACAGTGGACAAGTGAGGTTACCTGCGTGAATGTCGTTCGCCTAGCACCCAGGAGAGTTAGCAAGGGGCCTTTCAATCGCGGGTTCCGATTCGTCTCCGATCTCACACGTCGTAATTATCTGGAATGCACTGCCTGAAAATTTCCATTCTTCTATCAAATTTCTAGATATAACCTATAATAGTCATTAGACTAGAGTTAATTGTAACATAAATTTTCCTCAGTCACCTTAATGGGATTTAATCATCTAAATCCCTTGCAATGTCTATCGTTCTATTTCGATACTACAACAGAACTTTGGCAATGAACATAACATTGCTACAGCATACATGGAAAGGGCTCTTTCATGGCCATTAATAAGGGCTGAGGACACCATAGGCACGCTCACACTGCAGTACTTTTCCCACTTTAGTTCCGATATAGTTCCGAAATGTCGCGTTCACACCACAAAGAGCCGGAACTAAAATTAGATCATGAGAACCTTTTTACCCCCTTTTTAGTCCCTGCTAGAGAGCAGGTACTTTTGTGGGAGAAAAAGGTTCCTATGTCTGATTGGCTGGGCGGATTGCAAACCACGCCCCGTAAAACTCCCAAAAAGTTTTGTGAAGCCGCCATTTTATTATCTTCGCATTAGCATGATTAGCATTAGCATTAGCCCAGCGCAGAAACGCAGAGAGACTAACTTATGGCAACACAAAAGAAAACATGGGAGCGGTGGAGATGAGGAGGTGTCGGCGTTCTGGCGATTTACTCGGAAGGCTTCAGTAGAAGCTGCTGGGAGTCCCAGCAGCTTCTAAGCCAGTCTCCAACTCCGGGGACTTCCGGTCGGGGACTTCGGGTGGCAGTATACGACGTGAAGTTGTTTGTGGCCTGCCAGTAAACCCAAAGCAGAAGAAGAAGAAGTGACGTCAGCGGCTTCATTTGCCTAATCCTCCCCCAGGGACTTATTCCGGTGTGAACGCGATCTGTTCATGAGAACTAAAGAGTTCTCATGAACTAAGTTCTCATGAACCTTTGTGGGAAAAGTACTGCGGTGTGAATGCGCCTAAGGGCTCTACAGGCATACACGGTCTACCTTATAGGATGTTGCAATGCGATGGAAGATGTGAACTACATGTTAGAGCTCAACATTCCAGCAAACATGCTAGCCATTTTAAAGAAACTTCCATATACAGTAGGCTGAGGGACTTATGGAGAACTGTAGCATGTGACATCCAGCAAAAACACCACCTCCTGAAGCTGCCTTCAAGAATATTGTGGAATTCCTTGAAAGGCAAGTAAAGATTGCTACAGATCCCATATTTGGGGACATTAAAGATCCCCCTCCCGTACGCAAAGACATAAGAAGGCCACAGCCTCATCCAAGTGGAAGCATCTTTGCAACCAACGTGGAAGTTACAGAAAATAAATATGACGGAAGCACTGTAGAAAACTGCTTGTATTGTAGATGTGAACATGCTCTGGAGATGTGTCCACAGTTAGGAAGGAGGACACATCATGAAAAAAATCACATTTCTTAAAGAAAATGGTATTTGTTTTGGCTGCCTGTGTAAAGGACACATAAGTAGAGACTGCAGGAAACGAATGAGGTGCAACATATGCAATCTAAATCATGCCAGAATGTTGCACATCTACCAACAAAGGAAGGAAATGGAAAATGAGCAGGAGGAAATGGAAGAAGCATCTGCAAACAGTGCTGAAGCCTCAATTCAGACAGGTGGCCTTACTGGGGCCGGTGAAGATGGTTGCAAACTCTCCATAGTAGCAGTCCAAGTTAAAGCCAAAAAGGGGAACACAACAGTGCATGCATTTCTTGACCCAGGCAGTACTGCTTCGTTTTGCACATTAGGCCTTATGAACAAACTTAACCTCCAAGGAAGAAGGTCAAACATTCTGCTGAGAACTATGGGTCAAAGGAAGGTTGTTGAAACCAGCATTGTGTCAGGCCTAGAGGTTGCTGGACTGCATAACAGCAACTTTTGTGATCTCCCCGGCATATACACTCAGAAGACTATGCCCGTGCACAAAGGAAACATCCCACGTCAAACCGACATCAATCAATGGTTGCATTTGAGGGATGTTTGTCTACCTGAAATTGATGCTGAAATTGAGTTGCTGATTGGTTCAAAATGTTCCAAAAGCCCTTTAACCAATTGATGTAATCAGGAGTGTGGGGGATGGACCTTATGCTGTAAAAACCATGCTCGGTTTGACAGTTAATGGACCATTAGGAGGATGTCCTGATGATACTCGGGACAAAACTTCATTAAGTGTAAACATGGCCGAAGCGCTGGTCTTATCTGCTTTTAGCGGAGAGGAGATGGACACTGAAAAGGCAGAAAAGAAGGGTGATAGGAAAGAGAAAGGGGCCCAGAAGAGCAAGAGAATTATCCGTGCTCCCATTGACAGTGAAGACAGTGAGCCCGAGCAAGAGAAAGGTGGAGAAATGGAGGAGGAACAAAAGAAGGAGGTGAGGAAGGAAGCAAAATCGATGAAGGAACATAAGAAGAGAGAGAAGAGTCAGAGGCACAGGGAGAAAAAGGAAAAGGGCAGCAAGGCGGTGGAAAAAGTGAAGAAGAAGAAGGAGCGGTTCTCTGAAATAAATGAGGTTTGTGAAGCTTTTCTCTCTGTGGTGTTTGTAATTTCTTATGCAGAGACTCTAGTATTCAGATTCTTTACTGACATAAAGTGAGCTATACCACAGTGTGCATTTGTGAATGATTTTGTGTAATTTAAAGACAACTTGCACTCATTTCCCAGAACGCACCTCTCCCTCGGGGTCTGAACGATAGTGGCTGTCTGCTGGGCGACACGGATCTGTTTGACACGGGGCTGGACGATGATGAGGAGGAAGAGTCTCTGGAGGCCATCAGAGCTGCTGTCAAGCAAAAAATGAAAAAACAAAAGGTACAAATATGACTATCGGCAATTACAATTGTTCATCACTGTGTGTATATTTCAAAAGGTGTTGGCAGGATTGTAAGCACTTGCTTTTTTGTTCAGCTTATTGGTACGCATAATAATGGTAACAGATTTTGTTAAAAGTTAATGAATTCGAGTTAAATGTTGTTAAAGGGGTACATCCGTTGAAAGTGTCAATTTAGTCTGACGCAGAGAAGTTGTGATTAAACGTCACAGGTGCATTCAATTGTAACGCTGCCGTGTGGGTAGGGCTGCTCGATTATAGCAAAAATCATAATCACGATTATTTGTGGTCAATATTGATATCACGATTATTAAAAATGATTATTCATTGACTTTGAAAACATCAATTTATTGAACTTTTGAATTTTTTTTATAATAATTAGAACAGTATGTTTTTAACAGTTGATTACCCTGAACTTTAAGTATAATTCAACTGAAAAAGCAATACAAAAATAAATAATACATTTTAAATAAATACTGATAAAGAAGATCAACAAATATTTTTGTTCCATGTAACGTGTTTGTATATGGATTTATTAAACAGACTGCAAGTCACAACCTGGCCGAGAGGGCTTTTAGGGAGGGGCGAAAGCGCACTCGCGGGCAGGATGTATAACGCAATACAAATTGAGAGCATCATTGCGAAAGGGAATGCAGCAAAATAATAGTTTTATTTCGAATTGTAATCAAGATTAAAATACGATTTTAATTGCACAGCCCTACGTGTGGGAGCTATTTATTTATTTATTTATTTATTTATTTATTTATTTATTTATTTATTTATGAATTACAATGTTTTGCAGAGGTTGTCTACACAGGCCTTTGTGTAAACAGTGTTTGATATTTCTGCAGGATCCTCTCCTGGGTGATGGAGAGGAGGAAGATGAATATGAAATGGAGAAACCTCAGCGTGTGGTATGCATCGGCACAATTCTTGACTTTTATTCTTAATCCTGTTTAAAAAGCGGCTTCATTCTCAACATGTGTGATGCTCTCAGGAGAGGAAAGCCGCACGCGCCAGCAGAGATGCGATGAAGCAGCTCCACAGCGAGTCCCAGAGGCTGGTCCGAGGTCAGTGCACACGAAACACTTCTATTCACTTGTTTCTATTGTGGCAACAGTTCTCATGACGTGTGTTTGCACCTTTGACATGTTGTTCTGTCTCTGTAGAGTCTACGCTTGGCCTCCCCTATCACATCCCGGAGCCCAAGACCATCGACCAGTTCTTCAAGAAGAGGGCCAGGCCAGAGGGTCCCGCCATGAGACTGTTAAAGTAAGGATTAATGTAACGGATAACACGCATGTAGGGCAACAGCTGGCCATACGGGAACAAAATGACTGTCCGTCGTAACGATTTCTAAGACATATCTGATTTGATAATAGGAAGTTAATCTCAAGTGCATTTCCTTCATACACACACAATGAACATTTACTCACACTCATGTTTACATTTGTCTTCTCATCAGATCTACCAAATTTTCAGCCAGGATGTTGGAGACGCCATCAGCTCCCCCTCCTCCTCCTCCTCCTCCTCCCATCATCGCTCCCAGTGAGCAGGACTCTCCTCCGTCTCTCGATACGTCGTCCACTCAGATCCAGTCCATCCCTCATCCTGCCGCCACCTCGTCCCCGCAGCAGGAGAGCCTCAGCCCAGCCAGAGAGGCAGCAGCAAGCCTCGACCCCGACCAGGACTCTGGACCCATGCTGTACCTCTCTGAGAATCTGCAGGAGTCAGAGGGAACAGACGCACAGAGACGTGCCTCTGGTTCTGGGGAAGCTTGTCCCGCAGAGCAAAGCCAGAATGCGGTGATGTCCGACGCCCCTCAGAGAGAGTCTGGGGCTGTGGTGGAGCCTTTCAACGCTCATTGTGCTGATTCTGCTGTTAAAGAGCCTTCAGTACGGCAACCCACCAAACCCAAGAAGGACACATTTGCCTTACTGAAGAAGTTGGGACTGAACCCTCCACCCGTCGCTAAGCTGTGTGCAGATGAAGGAGCCTTTGTTCAGCTCGAGCCTCCGCAGCTCAACTCTGGTGAGTGATGATTTTTTTTTAGGATTGACATAAAGTAAGAAAAGTATTATTACTATATATTGTATTTAAGGGGAGAGAAAGTTGTTGACAAATGATCTTGTTTTCACCTCTCCTTCAACTAGGGGTTGAGGCACTGAAGGAGCGTTACTTTCGTCACTCCAAAAAGCACGTACGGCCTCAAGGAGAACGAACGATGCAGCTCACCATCGTCCGCAAAGACAGCGCCCCCTCTGGACAGGAGGAGCTGCACACTGAGTCGCTCTCTGTCACAGTTAAAGAGGGAGCAGAGGAGCCTCCGACCACCAAACCAGGTATGGATCCACACGTGAAGTCCATTTAGAGGCTGTGGACCAGATCGTTTATGTACGTTTCCACATCAATGCCAAAGTGGAAATAAAACTTGGAGGTGTAACAATATTCCAATGTCCTCTTTTCCTTTCCTTTAGGGGAGAAGCTGCTGACTCTGAAGCAGCGCCTGCAGCTCGCCATGGCCCAGAGGAGACAGGAGGACAGGGAACGCAAGGCTGAGCTGAATCGCCTCGACAATGAGGAATTTGGAGAGGATGAAGAGGAGGAGGAGGAAGAAGAAGAAGACATGACGGATGAGTCTGAGGCAGAAGAGGTAAGAGAAAGTGTGTTTGTTGTTGCTTTTGAAATGACCAACATGCTTTTATATATTTTTGTACTCACGGAAAACCTGATCTTCTCCTTGAACAGAATGTAAATGATTTACTGGGAGGGGATGATGGTGAGGAAGGAGAGAAGGAACATGAAGACGAGGAAGGCAGTGTGACCCGGAGTATTAGAAGCCTGTCTCCTGTGGCTCTGAATGGACCATCGCCGGTTCCTGACATGATGAACAGGGACGGCACACTCCTGCTTTTCCCCGGGAACTCCTGCTCTCGCACAGGGTGTGTGTGTGTGTGTGTGTGTGTGTGTGTGTGTGTGTGTGTGTGTGTGTGTGTGTGTGTGTGTGTGTGTGTGTGTGTGTGTGTGTGTGTGTGTGTCTGTACCATAGTAATCTGCGAATTGTAAGCAAGTTTCTGTTACTTAACCATAACCTGGTTGTCCTATTAATGAAAACAAAACTTGTCAAGCATGTAAAATAGCTATGCATTCGCACAAACATTTTTTTTCTCATCGTTGTTGTTCATTTTAAATTTGTTTGTGCAGTATATTGACATATGATCTGCTTTACTTTTTAGCGATGGTTTAAGAAGGTCTGGTCCTTTTGGGCAGAACAGCTGCAGCAATAAGATGGGTGAGTAAAAAGAAAGACCTTTGTTTTATTTCACATTACTTCACATTTCACTTTAAGAGCTTTTATTTGGTGAATCCTTTTGTGCAAAATGTGTGTATTATCTTCTCACTCTCTGGTCCTTCCTGTCTTCAGAAGACGAAGACTCTCTGTCCCTGGTAAAGGACAACAGCAACAACAGCAGCTTTGAGCTGGCTGGCTCCATGATCACCTCGTACCAGCCTATCAGCTATCAGCGCTCTGCAGGGAAAAGCATCTCCAACTGCTCCATTTTCCGCTCCCCCTCTCGATGCTCCTTCAGGCCCAGCTTCCTCGGCTCTGCCTCTAGGGTAAGATATCATATTTTTCATTATGTTTAAGACACCAACAAATCTAAATAACATCATCAGTGGTTTGAAATCTCCCAAACTTATGTCCACCTTTTTTTCCCCTCCACCAGAGTTCAGGCAAACTCTCTGAGCCCTCCCTCTCCCTCCCGGTTGAGGACTCCCAGGACTTGTATGCCCCTCCGTCCCCAGGAGCCGACTCAGGGCCCCACGGCAGAGCGGCTTCGGGCCCCGGAGGAGACTCCCAGGGTCGCTTCTCCCTGGAGGAGGACACCCACTCGCAGTTACTGGATGCAGACGGCTTCCTGAACGTGGGGCCGCGCCCTGGTGCCCCCCGCTCCCACAAGAGACAGTTGATCCTGGACAGCCTGGATGAAAACGCCATGGACGCTAACATGGGGGAGCTGATGGGCATGTGCTCGGGAGTTTTCGCAATGGCAGACAGCGGCTCCTGCAGGGCTGAGGGCCTCGGAGCCACGCAGCAGGGAGAGCTGCTCGGGATGTGCTCCGGAGCGTTCCCACCAACACAGGCAGGAGAGGACAGAAGGGCACGTGACCACGATGAAGAGTCTGATAACACCATGGATCAGCTGCTGGGGCTCTGCTCAGGGAAATTCCCCAGTCAAGGTTTGCTGAATTTTTTTAATATGGTGTATTTTATGTTCAATCACCGACAGTGTGCAAAAAAGGTTTGACAGACAGGCTCACACTATAGACTCACTGACGAGACATTCAGGTCTTAATAATTTAACTAATATTAAAATGTATTTATTGTGAAGGGGAAATAAATGGTTAGCTTGAGGCAGATAAACTGTTGTTGAGATGGCTGACCTGTTCAAATCATACTTTTTTTTAATGTTTTTGGTTTGAATTTCTCTTGTTATGATTCAACTTTATCATCAACATATTTTCTAAAACTATGATATTCTGTCTTTTCTAATGTACGCTGTTTCACATGTATACAAAGATACCCAAAGCAATATTTTACCAGACGACTGAACGTAAATCACATCAGACATTACAAAAGATGTATGTACTTTCCTTTATGTACATTTCCTGTTGCCCTGGGTCTTTAACGTTTTTAATTTCAATGTTTAAGAATTGTTTTGAATTATTGTATTTCCAGCTACACAACATTTACATTTGTTTCCCTTTGCTGCCAATTTTAGGTTCTGCTCGCACGGCTTCGCCAGCACAAGACAGGTACAGTACCAAAAGAAAGACCTGGAATAATCCAAATCATCATCATCATCATCATCATCATCATACATATTATTATATCTATTCCCTCTTTTTCCACTACTCATTATTTTAAACCCTTTAACAGCGTACATCCAAGGTAACATTAATTGGAATATCTATATTCAATGTAAGATTGTCATGCTCATTTCTTAATCTAAAGTAAAAAGAAGCCAGATGGAGAGGAGGAGGAGGAGGAGGAAGAAGAGGAAGAGGACTGCGAGTTCCGGCTTCTGTCAGATGTGGAAAGTCACAGCGAACAGGTGAGAACACGTGCCTCCATTTTGATTTAGTCAAATTCAACATACTGGATTTACGTCTATTGGATGCAAATGACAAGTGAATTGTGCGTTCATAGGAGGAGGAGGATGATGATGGTGGAGTGGAAAAAGAGGAGGAAGATGGAGAGGAGGCTGATGAAGATGCTGGTGAGGATGATGATGTAGAAGAGGAGGAGATGCAAGCTGTCTTCGCACCACTCAGAGTCAAGAAAAAGAAGAAAATGTAAGTGAAGAATCAAATGGAACCATGGACATACACGCGTCGTATACTATGATCACATAATCCACGCTGTAGCCCTCGTGTTGATAGTCTCTCACATGCTGTTCTCAGGCATATGGCCGACTACCTGGAGGCAGAGGCCGAGCTGTCCGGCAGCGACATGGACAGTGACGATGAGGACGGCGACGGAGGAAGCGAATACGAGGAAGAGGAGCTTCTCGAGGATCTTCCCTCTGATGAAGAGCTGCAGGACCAGGTCAACAAGATCCACATGTGAGTAATGTCCCAAGATAAGGCTGCCTTAAGGAGTTTCCTCCAATTGCTGCTCCGCTCATAATGGAGTGTTGCTGGGATACGGGAGTTGACAAAATGTAATGGGATTTTTCCATGGATTTTGGAGTATAGCAGAAATAAGCTCTGAATCAAACGCATGCTTATGATGCATGTTTTGTTCAGCATTATAATCTCAATATATTAAACACAACTTGAATGACTCTTGATGTGTAAATGCAATCACCAGAAGTACATAGCTAACGTTAGGATATAAAGGAACGACAAGCAACCACTTCAAACACTCACTGTTGGTATTAACTGCAGAGTAAGCAGTGAGCTTGTGTTAACCACAGACATTATTTAAAGCATCTCACTGAAAACAAAACCTAAGACTTTGAAAGGAAGGAACCTGGAATGGCTCAAATGCTGAGTGTTATTTGGGTTGGAAGCCTTATGACTGCACCGCTCTTTAGGTTGAACTCTTAGAAGTTTTTAGGGGTGTAACTGTGCTCAAACTTTACTGTTTTGATCAATCTTACGTTTTTAGGTCACGGTTCCGTAAAACATTTTTTATCATTTATTTAGACAATTCTTAACATTTAACAAAAGTTTATAACACTCTTCATTATTTAGTTATTGACTAGGTCACAGTGAATATCAAGCTGAGGGAGTTGCATAACGAACCGATGATTCTGAACCAAACAACTCGTGAGATATACATGTCCCTTTCACCCCTACAAACAATGCAATGAGGACGACTTCTTAAGTTTAGGCGTTTAAACTGAGAGTCGAAATGTAAAATCTCACCAATCTGGGATTGTTCCTACAGGAAGCAGATCATGGATGATGACAAGCGCCAGCTGAGGATCTACCAGGAGCGTTACCTCGCTGACGGCGACCTTCACTCCGACGCCCCCGGGCGAGCTCGCCAGTTCCGCTGGAAAAACATGGGTGAGTTTATAGATTGAGGGAATCAATACCATATATCGTATACTATGTCCACTGGTATTTAGAAGGGTTTTTAGAAATGAGTTGTTAAACCCAACTTTTTGAATTCTCTTTCCAGACGATGGTTTCAACATGGACAGGACGGGAGCCGAGGGGGAGGAAGGGGAGGATGATGAGGATGAGGTGGACCCAGCTGAGATCCAAAGGAGGAAGGACTGGCTGGAGAAAGAACAGTGGCTCAGAGAACAGGTACGTTGCTGTTTTTGCAAGTAATAAGAGTTCTACCTAGATAATATTCAGGAGACATCATTAAAAAGAAATGTGCAGTATTTACGGTAGTAATAATACTAGAGTCTTCAAAGAAACATTTGGTTGATTCTTCCCTCTCTTCTGCATGGGGCTGTTGTCTTCATTCCTTTCTCTGTCTCTTCTCCCAGTCTGAGCAGAAAGCCAAGAAAGGGGAGGATTTGGATGCAGACGATGAGAAGATTGGAGAACAAGAAGACAGTCAGTTTATGAAGCTGGCCAAGAAAGTGACTGCCAAGACTCTGCAGAGGAAAGGTCAGTTTGAGACGAGGCCTCGCAAACAGAGTCCCTTGGATTTAAAAACCCCCAGGCAGGTCTCCAGATAAAGTGTAATCTTTAGTATTTCACTTTCTAACTTTTAAACTTTCAAACCAGAGTCCAGTGCGGCATCACAACCAACGAAGAAGACGACATCAGCTCTGAACCCCTTCCAGAGACTCTCGCAGCCCTCACAGGTACCTCACCGTCAAGTAAAGAAATGTGGATTTGGATTTTCTAACTTTTCAATTCTTCATTATAATTTTGTTACAAGATTTAGATTTTATATCAAAATATTGCCCGACCATTGTCGTCTCAGAGATTAGCATTGAACATATTACCAACAAGGTTTGTTATATTTAGCTTTTTACAAGTTCAATCTAAGATGTTCTTTACATGTCTTCCAGGTAAAGAGAGGGTCCCTGCTGAGTCAGCCCCAGTCCGTCCTCCAGAAGCTGGCATGCATCTCAGACGGGAATCCTCTGGCTCCCAGAAACAGCCGAGGATTCCTGTTCCAAACTGTGTCTCCTGAGAAGGACAAGTCCACCTCCAACGCTGCCAACAAACAGGTGAGCTGTGCACCATGGTGTCCCTTTGCTCAAACGAGTAAACCATTCATTCCTTGAAAACTCATAAAAGATGTATTAATTAAAAAACTCCTTGATATGCTCAGGGCCTTGATTGCCTTTACCATTAGATCAGAAGATTACAAGTGAATGATTCTTATTATCTTTATATACTTAACTCCAGGATAAAAAAATAAACCTATAATGGCAACAGGTTAGAAATCCATCAAGCCCAATCCAATGACTGAAAAATAATGTGTTTTCGATCTGCTCCGAAATGTTATGCGTTCTTCATTCACCCCTGCTATGACCTTTCACAAAGTTTCATTACAAAAAAAAAAAAATTGTTTAAAAAGTGTTTTTGTAGTCCTGCTCACAATCAACAAAACACATTAAAATAAATAAATAACCTCATTACAGGGGTGAGGAAAAAGGTAGTAATTGCATTTAGTTTACACATCTGTAAGAAACTGATAGTAATAAGTTGTGCTTATTAGATAATATTCAATAAGTGGTAGCCTTTAAGAATGTGAATGCATTACACAGAGGAGCATTTGAGTCATTCAGAGATCTGACCTCCTCTACTCTATTGATTATTCATTCTGCTACCTTACTTCAAAAAATGGAATTATGTAATTCCGGTGCACACATTGCAATAAAGCCTCTAATGGCTCATTCATTCGTGATGAAACCATGTAGTTAAATGGTAACCAGCATCTACCGTGACCCTTCACACTTTTATCCCAGTGCCCGGTTTGACAAAGCTAGTAGAAAGCACTGCCTACACACACATTGCACAAGGTGGAAGGGTCAAAAGTACCAGTCATTTGTTAGTCCTGTGGATCTGGCGTGCCCGACCCGTGCATTGATAATGATGAGTGTTTGTTTTGATTACATCAGTGTTTCAAAAGGAGTGAAAAAGGGGGAAATGATCTCATATTAAAAACATCACAGCTTGATTGTTCAAAATATAAGAGGACCTTTTGCAACAAGTGGCCAAGAGGCTGCATAGATGTAGAAAAAGTCACCTCTGATCTTAAAATAGATAGGCTCATGGTACTTCTTTCTTTACTGTATGCTTTAAAAATACTGCATGATACTAGAGTAGCCATATTGGTGCCTAATTCTTGACCTAAAAAATGGTCTGTCATGTTTGTCCAGCCCTTTTGAAAAACACAGGGTTTAATCTCTGATCTGGCCTAGGGCTGCTCGATTATGGCAATAATCATAATCATTATCGATTTAGTTTGAAAACATCCATTTATTGAAGAAAAAAAATGTTTGAACAGTATGTTTTTAACTGTTGATTACCCTGAACTTTAAGTATAATTCAACTGAAAACCCAATAATAAAAAAAGAATAACTTTTTTTTTTTTTTTTTAAATAAATAAAAGAATAATTGTATTATTGCGATTTATGTTTTCATAATCGTTGCAAGCCAAAATCTTAATTGCGATTTAAAATACGATTAATTGAGTAGCCCTGCTCTGGCCTTCACCCAGTTACATTTCCCAATCATGTTTGTTTTTGACCAGAACTCACTGTTCTAAAAGAAGCTCCAAAACAAATCACTTTGCAAAGGTTGTGTGATTACCATGTCTACTTACTCTGATGTCTTCTATATTTGTGACACTAGGGGGAGCCAGAGCCCACTTCTCACAATGAATGTCTTTATTTACCAAACATGTTTTAGCACAAGATTCACCATTGCATTTGTGTTTATTGGCAGCAGTTGATTAGTTATATCACCACAAAAACATTGCTTTATGTATTCTTAGTCAATGTTTATATGTATTGTGTTTGATCATCAGGTGACGAAGAAGAGGAGGCCGGTGGAAGCGGTGACCCCCACAGCCAAGAGGCCCTGCAGAGAGAACAGACCTGCAGCACAGACCAAAGCCCCCCAGAGGAGCATCTTCAGCTTCCTGGACCACTGAGGGAGCAACACTAACTGAGAGCCGTCGGATAAAGACCAGAACAGACCAGCCACATCCAGTATTTCACAAGCCATTAAGATTTCAAAAATGAACAATGGTTAAATTATGGTTGCGTGCAAAGCTGGTGGACATCCTCTTAATGAAACACAAATACAGATGATTGTGCTTCACATGTTTACATTGCTTTAAAACGGCAAACTAAAGCACACCACTGAGGCATCTCTTGATGTTTTACTTCTTACACACACACACACACTTGCTGTCCGGTTCGTGTGGGAATCTTAAATCAATTATCAGAAGCGTCCATCGGTCACACCTTTCTTGACTTGGACTTTCTGATGGAGGTCCGATTTGAATAGTTTTATCATGTAAATAGGATTGATTTGTTTTTTTAGCGAGATTTTGTATGATGGTTTAAATGTATTTGTTTTACATTGTAAATAAAATTGTATTTTAAGATATTGCCTTATTGTCCTTTGTATCTTAGAACAGATGCAAGCTATCAGAGCTTCTGCAGGTGCTCAGGTGTGTGTGCCACCAACAGATGGACACATTTCTGATCTATTTACAAATCGGAGGATAATACTCAAGGTACCAATTTGATGAATCTGACTTTTCCTCTTTCGCCATCATGAGGTCTATCACATCATTTGTGGGTTTGAGTGAGATATCTATAGCTGTTGGATGGGTTACCTGTTAAACAGATTCATGTCCCCCTCAGGAAGAATTGTTATAACACTGGTGATCCTCTAGCTCCATAGTCATGTAGAAATGAATGTATCCAATGCTCCAATACTGTGAAGCACTTATTAGCAAATGAGCTAATCCAAATGAGCTACCTTGCTAAAAGATCTTTTAGCATTAATCTTGACACATCACTGTGCTCCATACTGCTTCACAGAGCCACTAAGCATGGCTGTAGACTAACAGCGTCTTGGAGGCTCAGTTTTCTCTGTAGCTGCCCATACAAAGTACACACTGATGCATGAACTGCATTTGGGACATACTGTACATCTTCATTATTGTGCTTTAAAGCTTTTTCCCTGGCTTGTATCCTACAAAATGTGAACATATGCAGCAGGGCATCCTGGTATTACTTAAATACATGTACAGTATGTATTGTACTAAATATTTTTGAGTAGTTTGGGTATTGAAACATATTAAGGCAAGGCCTAGTCTTGTTTTCATTCTCTCCTGTATTGACGTCAAATGTTTTTACTGACTACTGTTTTGTGCCACTTAATTTGATTTTTATTTGACTATTGGTACTTTTCAGTAAAAATCCAATCTATTTTTCTGGGAAATGAGTAAAGCAAGGATCATTTAATAACCCAAGTGAGACCTTTTCTATCAGTGTTACCGCTCTGTGCCTTTTGTAGATTTCGCATTTCAAAGTAGAATCTGTTTCCCATTTCACTCTTTAGCACAATCCTCTAACACTATAGATCAGGCCTCAGATAAGAGGGTGTATCTTCATTCCCTGCTCTGACTTAAGGTCACCACTTGACTTAAGATGAGACGAGTATCTTTTACAATACTCTCAGGACTGCACACCAAAGGAAAGCAATACAAAAGACAAATGGAGATCATAACATAGTCCAACCAGCTTTACTTCCTGGTTGTTTTTTGGAGAGCATTGAGAGTTCTACTTCACCTGTCCTTCGCTGTAAATCTTCAAAACTCGTATCATTTCACTTTTTCTTCGAGCTTTAAAGTTAATCGCAGTTTAGAGACTAATGATTTGCTAAGTGGCTAATAATAGGCCGGCATTAAAGGCTAGGGTTTTCTTTCTAACGAGCTCTTTCATGTCTCTCCATCTCATTAGTGGCCACGGTGATTAGGAGAAGGTCCCGGGGTTAGGAGCGGGCGCAGGAGGCCCCATTACACATCATTAGGGGCCAACGCCAGGAGGGTCTGGAATGAACCCCATGGTGGGCCCCTCCCATAGCGAGCTGCCGTACCTGCAGGCCGTCCAGCTTAATCCTGGTGTTGTTAAAGCAGCGATTACTTTTCTACCTTTGTCAAAGCCTCAGTTTTGTCTGTTTATCTAAGACTCTCTGGATTTCTGTGAGATTTTAAGAGCCAAGAGGCTTCGGGCAAAGGGAATAACGTGATAGATTTTCGCTGTGGAGCTTCCTCTGTCATTATTTTTGAGCCATTACAACGCAATTAATCGAGATAAAGACTTGATTCTGAATCCTACGGGTCTGTTTGCCGGGTCAAGAAATCAACTCTAATGAGAATTTAATAACGTCTCTGCAAGTTGTTGGCTAATTCAAGCATAATTCTCTTCCCCATCGTACTCCCAAACTGAATTTCACAACTTTGTTTAACCCCCAGAGGGAATTGTGAGGTCAACCCAGTAAAGCCAACCCCCCCTCCCCCCCTGAACCCAACTCCCACCACACTTGAAAGAGGAGGAAGGTTACATGTTTTGGCACCGAGGCCCGGCTTCTAAATATCTAGAGGACACGGATCTGGCTTTATTCAGATTATGAGGAGGAGAGAGGGCAGAGGGTGGAATAATTGAAGAGGAACATGAGCTGCAGCACCCAGGGGTGGTGTGCAGCTTGTGTCATGACGTCTGCACTGTACGTGTGTGTGTCTACTCGCATCTATGCTCTAAAATAAAAGTGTATAATTAGTGCAGAAAACAAACCCCCGTGCTGGATTAGTGGTTCAATTTAGCACGTCTTGGCTGATTTGGGTGATTTTTTTAAGAGCGCTGGCTGTGAGCTGGAGGTCCGGCAGGCCTCTCTTTACAGTCTCAGCACCGGGGATCTGACAGTGGGGCCCATGGGTGCTGCCGGGTGCCCTCGGCCACTGTCACAGCTGAGACTGGTGCTGCAGCAGATGTGGAAGCTGAACTGAGGGAAGTGGGTCAGGGGGCTGCAGGCTGTGTACAATCCAAACAAGGTCTTATTATGCACAAGGTAAGTCATGCTTCTTTTTTTTGTGTGTGGGAAAGGGGGGAGGTTAGTGTTAACATTACAATAGTAATCCCTCCCCCCCCCCAGGAGGCCCTCACGGACGACCCTCAGTCCACCGGGGTTCAGCCTATCTCTCCTATCAGTGTCCTCTGCGGTCGTCTTTTGTAACTTGGCTTTTTCTTTTTTGAAAGAGAGAGATGGAGGGAGAGATGATTTTGCGTGTGACGAGGCCTTGAGCGGGCGGCTGTGTTTGATGTATTTTTTATGTGCTTAGGCTACTGGTGAACGATGGGGAGGGGGAGGCAGAGGGGAAGGGGGTGGGAGGAAGGACGCCTGGAGCTGATGCACTTGAATGGGGATGTTGTTGAAGGAGAAAGGGGGGGTGAGGGCCTAGATAGGGATAGAAATGTGCGTGTGTCAGTGTGTGTGTGTGTGTAGAAAGAGGAGGAGGAGGACGCAAGTTTTTTTTTTTTTCTGCCGCCAGCGACGACATGTCAGGGGGATGAGAATAGGCTGGAGAGAGACAGGGAACACTTGTTAAGTCTGTCTGATGTAGCCTCTATACCGCATACACACCTCTAGAAAACACACTTGCACACACACACACATGCACACACAATTTCTCAACTGCCATGCTCTTAGATCTGAGATTGACAATCATAAAAGCAGTCCGTCACCAGTTTTGAGAAATATCACAAATTCTGCAGTTCTCAATTTGAGCGGACTGGAGATATGATGTTGCCTATCAGTATTGCATTGTGGGTAACAGTTTGATGCCTGAAACACCTCTTTACTTGTATATGTTATGATAACATTTCTAAAATATCCGTCCTTCAACACTCAGCTTGATATGTTCAATGCCTGCCAGGAAATGTGTGATTTTTCTACGTCGTATTTACTGTTTTATTTCCTCCATTTCCCAGAATGCTTTCTGACTAGGAAAGGCCTGATGACCTTGCTTCTTGAGTTCAGTAAGAAGAACAAGGACAGAAAAATCTGGTTTAAAAAACAATGATGTTTTGTTTCTAGTAAGTGAAAACAATGTTTGTCCTTTCATGTCTTGATTTATTGTCATTGACTCATGACTTGCACATATTCTTCTATTTTAGGCTTAATACTGTGAACTCTTACAAAACCCCATGTCAATATTTTGCACATTCATGCATGAAACCAGAAAGCTCTTCCACTTTTTAAAGCATATTTTTAAACATATTTTTTCTCTTCTTTTAATGTTTATTTTTATATTATGGCTCTTGGCTTTTGCATTGTATTTATATTTTCACAAAAGCATCCAGGAATATTCCTAGTATGTGGAAATCTACTAATTAAACTGTCTGATTCCAACTGTAGACTTTGTGCCATATCATTTCATATGAAAGAATGATTAAACAATAAAATAAGCTGTTAATGCTTAATGTATTTTTCAAAGTTTTCTATTTGAACAAAATCCTAGTAGGCATGATTTTGGTAATGATTTTAGCTTTGACACTAGAAAGCTGGTTTCATTTTTGAATTTTTGTTGACATTAGATGTCACTTCAAGCATTTCCAATTTAGTTATTTACTTTTTTTGTTAAAAGAAACCCCACAAACGATTTATTGAAATGTGTCTTAATAAACGTATCAGTGCCTAAATGTATCTTGTATTGTGAAGTGACCTGAAGACAGGGGCGGACTGACCATTGGGAATACCGGGAGTTTCCCCGGTGGGCCGGTGCTGTGTGTGGGCCGGAGGGCCAAAAAAAAAAAAGATTAAAAAAAAAAATTAAAAATCTTTTTTTTTTTGCCTAAATCCTACCGGCCCACATTTGTAAGTGTTCCGGCCACTCCCTTTTTTTTTTTTTGCTTACCTAAATCCTACCGGCCCACATTTGTAAGTGTTCCGGCCCAGCCCAGCCCAGCCCGGCCCAGCCCTGCCAGTGGAGTGTGGCCCACTGGGCTGGGCTGGGCTGGGCCGTTTTGATAGGCTACCTTTGTTCTATCTATCAGTTTCAATTTCACACATCAGGCCCGTAGCAGCTGTCACTGCGCAGTGAACGATCAGGAGTGAGTGACTGAGAGACCTAGCTGGCAGTTGCTTACAGATGGATAAGCAAGTTCCAAAGCGTAAAGGCGCTTTTGTATAGTTTGTATATACAGTATTGTAGCGAGCCCTGGGTTCAGAGGGAGGGGCTTGCATAGGGGAGGGGGTTGACAGGGAAACGGGGTTCAGGGGGAGTGGCTGTACGGCTCTACCCGTAGGATAGAAAAGGGGGAAGTGACGTCTGACTCAGAGGTCGCGCGGCTGTGGAGAAGAACGTGTTGCCCACATTCTGTTACTGAGTTTAGGCTAGTTAGCTAGCAGGTTTATTGTTTTGGGTGCAGTCACTTTTGCATCCACTTGCTGTTCAAATAAATGTTGAAAGAAAAAGTAAATCTGTTTACAATTCTGTTTATATGGGTGTTGAAGAAGAAGAATGGGAGGGATGAAACCCTCTTTAATGGTCACACCATGCAGAGCATACAGCACACACAGTGAAATGTGTTCTCTAATTTTAACCCCTCCTAGTACCAGGAGTCTAGTTACTAGGAGCAGTGCGCAGCTATTGTACAGCGCCCCGGGGAGCAATGGGAGTGAGGGGAAAGGGGATGTCTTGCTCAAGGGGCACCACGGGCAGGACAGGAGGTGAACTGGGACCTCTCCAAGTAGAAGTCCACACTCCAAATGTAGGTCTGGTCGGGGACTTGAACCGGCGACACTACGGCTCACAGTCCAAGCCCCTACTGACTGCCATAGATTTAATCCCTAATTTTGCTCTGAAAGTGCACCAGATTGATGCATTTAACTTCAACATTTAAAAAAAAATCTTCCCGGGGGAGCTTGACCCCAGACCCCCCTATAGGAGGTGAGGTCCACCACCTGCCCACACCCCCTGTTAAATGGTCTCACCCACATTGAGGATGCTTCCTACGCCCATGTTTTATTCCATGTGTCAAGTCAGGCAAATTGGGTCAAAATGTTATTGCATCAATGATCTGTTAACATTAAAATCACTAAATATATGCTGTAACTATTTTTGCTCTAGGCAACTCAAGGGCTCAGGTAATGTGATTACTATATGAATAATGGTCCAAAATAACATAAAATGCATAGGGTTTTTTGTTAAGTAACATACTTTCGTCGCCGGCCAGCCGATACATGCCGCGCATTAAGTGGGCCTGTCTGTCAATTAATCCCCGGGCCACTTTTTCCCCCCAGTCCGCCCCTGCCTGAAGATAAGTATAAAATATCATAAAATACAAGAACAAAGTTAAATTTGGTATAATGCATACATTTAGCTCTGTAACAGCATTACCATAATATACTAACAAGTACTCAAAGTACTCAGATCTTTTACCTAAGGGAGAGTGGCAACACAGTCATCAATGCCCTTTTGCAAGCAAAAAGTAGTGCATTCAAAATGTAACAAATGTATTCTTTTAAAAAAATGATGGCTTCTTAAAGTAAAGAAAGTAAACATATTTGTTTATATGTCTAATTTCACAATATGTATCTTAAATAGATTAATTTGAATTATTGATGCATTAATGTGGTTAATGCATTGTTTTAAAGGAGGATTTTTATTGTAATTATTTAAATATACTGCCGGTTAGCTTGCACATTTCACCAAGGGATCTATAAAGTGTTATCTTAACCTAATATAATGTTTTTTTAAATATCTTTTTAAAGATATTTTGTATTATTAGTCTCCAAAGTAACTGCAGCTGTCATATTAATGTAGTGGTGTAAATGTACTTTATATTTGCCTCTGAGATGCAGTGGAGTAAAAGTAACAACTTGAAATACGTATGTAAAGTACAAGTACCTCAAAATGTAACTTAAGTACAGTACTAAATAGTAAATGTACTTAGTTACTGCCCACAACTGGATATATAGAGGCAGAGGTGGGAAGTAGCTAAGTACATTTTCTCAAGTACTGTATACTTAAGTAAAGTTTTAAGATTCTAAGTATTTCAATCTGATGCTTCTTTGTACTTGTACTCCACTGCAATTCAGATGTAAATCATGTACTTTTACTTCACCACATTTATTGAAAATCTTTTATTACAGATTTGGATTAATGATGGGAAATATAATCAACACTTAAATAACACTTTAGTTACACCTGGAGTAAATTCACCATCTACCATGCAGTATACAAAGTCATTGAAACTAGCTGCACCTTTACTAACTTTGATAACACTTTAATGATCAATAATTATAATCAAAACATTTAATATATATCATTATGAAATGGACCAATCTGCAGAATTAGTACTTTTACTTTGGTACTTAAAATACATTTGATGCCAATACTTTTTTGTACATTTACTTGAGTAACATTTTGAATGCAGGACTTTTACTTGTAACAGAGTATTCCTACACTCTGGTACTTTTACTTAAAGTCATGAGGCCTGTTGCTGCAGTGCACAGTCATACCGTTATTCCAGTAGATGACTCAGAGTACCATGACAGCCCATTGTTCCCATTCATTCTCCACGGTTTCCATCTTCCTGCAGTCCCAGCCCAGTTTAGGAAGTGCTGGAATTATTTCCCTCAGAACCACAGTAGCAGTGAGAGGATGGGAGGAGGAGGAGGAGGAGGAGAGAGGAAGAGGAAAATAAACATCACATAGGAGGGATCGGAGGAGGAGGATACAAAATTGGGAGGGAACAGCGTTCAGCTTCTCCACCGAACAGACTAGGAAATAAGGTAAGAACATTAAAAAATAATAATATTCACACGGCTCAGTGTCGGTCATTTGCACGCAGGGGATGAGAGGAAGCTGAGGTTGTTTTTGCCGACAGAGGACACAGCACTGATATGGGGTGAGCGTTACATAACGCCCAACGCACATTCAATATTCCCTTTTTTCGTGCATTTCATCACTAATAGTAAATATCGAGTCATTTTTTAACCATTCCGGTTCGCTGTAGATGGATTAAGATCTAAAACAGTCGTGTTTTTTCCACATTATAGCCTATTCAACTCTAATCCGGAAACATGCAGCCGCTGAACGCCATTGGTCGCCTTTTTTCTGATTTCTGCCGTAGTCCGAGCAAAAACAAGCATCTTTTTGTACAGATAAGAAACCTCCACCCTGCAGCAGGACTATTTCGGTATAATGTTTATTTAATTTTTATCGCGTGCTGGTGTTTTTACATGTGTTAAACGCAGATGTACTCATTTAAATCAGACTGCGTTTTTTTCTGTTGCACCCTGTTGATTCTTTCACATGTCAAATTCAGCTCTGACACGAAAAATGTGTCGATGTTTACACGGAGAATTATATTTTTCTCCTCGTGATCGTAAAGCATCTGTCTGTGCCTGCTATGCGCGCTCCCGACAAAGCCACCGTCGCTGTCCTTCAGCACCACGTGAACACGCGTGAGAGGAGAGAAGGGGATAGGAGAGGGATTGATTGACAGCAGCCTGAAGTCAGGATTAGAGACATTTCCATTCTGAGGAGACATGTAAATATTTGATGCTAATAGAAGTGGAGTGTGCAGATCAGCCTTCTAGACGTTATAAACAAGGAGTGGTGTGTGTGTGTGTGTGTGTGTGTGTGTGTGTGTGTGTGTGTGTGTGTGTGTGTGTGTGTGTGTGTGTGTGTGTGTGTGTGTGTGGCAACAAGATTATAATTTTCTTTTTCATTCGTTTTATAGTTGCTCCTCATCCATATCAATGAAATTGTTCTCGCATTGTGTTGTTTTTAAGGCAGATACTCAACATTTCTGATGAACATTTTCCAAAAAGTACCATCGCTTTTAAGGCTGCTGGTGACTTGTGTTTATCTTCTATGCAGTTTCTAGTTTTGAATCATGCTTGTGCACAACAACTTGCAGAACATTTTTGTTGACGTCACTTTATCGTTGGCTACTAATGCATTTGAAAGCTTGTTTTGACTACTCTCAAACTTGAGGGAAGTGCCATTAACCAAGATAAGAAAGTTTAACAACATTAGATGAGATGTGTTTTGTCAGAAATTGAAACTTGTGAAAAAAACAGAGCTACTGTGAAGAAGAACGTTCAACTTCAATACATCAACACAGAGGAGTTTTAGAGCTTCTGATTGCAAGATCAGCTGATTTGCTTTCTGTGTAGCATTTGAAATGTTTGGATGCTAGTACTTATACAATACCTGAACAACTTGGTACAGATACCAAATTGATACTTAACTGCTATGTACTCAAGGTAAAAATTATAACAACACAAGCCAAACATGTTTTTTCTTTGAAACACAAGTAAGAACTGAATTAAGAGTGTGAATCTGAGGTTGAGGTTCTTCAGGTCTTTTAACGTTCTGTCCCTTGTCGTTTCAGTGAGGCTCAGTCGAGGTCAGTGATGCTGCACCATCAGGACCAGCATCTGAACTCGGCCTACGCCGGGCAAGGAGTCTCCAACAATGGCTCCTCTTCCTCGCTGCAAAACAGGAAGTGTGACAAAGACGGCAACTTCAACTTCCTGCCCGGCAAAGATAACGATGGCTCCACGGGTCATGGAGGTGGAGACGAGAACCGAAACCAGGTCCGTCCCCGCAGCTTGGGCCCGCTTGGTCGTGACCCTCCGTACTCCTCCTCCTCTTCTGGGTACCACAACAACTCAGGCGTCCTGTCCCCTCGCTCCCGCATGCCCTGCTGGAGCCCCCTGGAGCCCCTGCCCGAAATCGAGTGTGGGGATGACGGTTATGGTCGAGTGCCCCCTGACGGAGCGGAGGAAGGTAGGATGCAGGAAGAGGAGAGGAGGGAGCTGATATACCGGCATGAGGAGAAGCAAAGAGAGAAAAGGGAGCAGCAGAGGAGGAAAAGCAGCTCTGGTTTCAGAGGAAAGGAGGAAGATGAAGACGAGGCGGCGCTGGAAGACGGTGACGAATGGGGCGACAGCGACTCTGAGTCTGAATTCAGCCACCGGTCTGGCGGAAGCATGTCCTCCCTCAACATGGACATTGGAGGCGAAGGGACGCTCATGGGAGGCTGGGACCGCATCGGCGTTGGGGAGCCGAGGTCCAACCACAATGAAAGTGACGCAAACCGAAACGGTGACGGAGACTCGGTCGGGCGACGCAGAAGCTTCGCCCGCAAGTCTCTGACAGGAAGCAACCTAGGAAATCTTCTGGAGGAAGGAGCGGAAGAGAAAGAAGACGACAACTGCTCCTCTGACTCAGACGGGGAGATCCCTGAGCTGATGGATGCGGTGTGGACGCTGCGAGACCGCGAGCGCTTCAAGGCCCAGGAGATGGAGAAGCACCAGGTGCAGCTGACCATGTACCGCCGCCTGGCGCTGATCCGCTGGGTCCGCACCCTGCAGAGCCGCATCCAGGAGCAGCAGAACCGCCTGCAGAGCAGCTTCGACGTCATCCTCACGCAGAGGAAGGAACTGCTGCGTATGGGCGCTGCTAACGCCGCCCCCCCTGCAGCCGTCAGCCAGTCGTGAGGAGAGAGAACTATGGGAGGAAACAGGAAGTGGTCTGATTGCTTCGGTCCGGAAAAAAACAAACAATCTCCCATCATTCAGTCTGATGTTTTTAAGTTCCAGTCTCATGTTGCTGATTGTAATGACTCAATACTTGTTTGAATTTCTTTACTGGTGTACCACCCAGAGCATCAATAAACCCTAACCCTAACTGTATGTACGTCAAATCCAATCCTGGTCAAATCATCGAAATTACGAACACTTTGTTGTGGGAATAATATGATGTTTGTATTGAAAATAGCCTGTGTCTGTGCAATGTCTTGGTTTGTCTTGAACTGTGAGTGAAAAAAAACCCCCTGCTGTACCAAAAAAAGAATTGAAAAATATAATGTAGATGTAAAAGATTATTTATACCCTGAGATAATGCTGTATAGAGAGATATTAAGAACATTTAAAGAATAAATAAAAGTATCTTCTATCTGATTTTTTGTGTCGTCTGTTTGTATTTCAGCTGATCTAATGAAAAGGAGTTATTGTAGTGAGTCATAATAGATACATCTTAAGGGGAAGTCCAAGGACTTTTCTGACAATGGGAGCACAAGGTCTTCATTTCATTCCACATCATCATGTTGATCTCTTAAAGCTGGTTTATCAAAGCCCCCTCAGTGCAGATAGGACATTTTTGTTTATCTTCTCGAGCTGTACTTGCTGTTGTGGAGCCTAAGGACGAATGACCTTCCAGCCAACAATTGCCTCTTTGTCAGCCGAACAAAGTTGGTTTGTATCTGCTCATCACACGGGGCTGGGGAGTGTGTGTTCTGCGGGGAGTGTGTGTGTTCTGCGGGGTGTGTGATAGCCGTGTGAGGCTCAGGCTTCAATCTCCATGGGCATGGCTGCTGCCGCGGGCACTCCACCATCATCTCACCTCCTTCCATGTGCGTGTGTGTATGTGTGCGTGTGTGTGTGTGTGTGTGTGTGTGTGTGTGTGTGTGTGTGTGTGTGTGTGTGTGTGTGTGTGTGTGTGTGTGTGTGTGTGTGTGTGTGTGTGTTCACAAAGATACCAGCCGCGTTGCCACCCTATAATCTCCATCCTGAGCGGGTCGTGGTGGTGGGGGCCCCCGGGGAGCCTGTCAGTCTGCGCCCCGGGGCCCTGCAGGTCCTATCCGGCCGCGGTGAACAGACGCCGGTCCGGTTGCGCGCAGGAGAGCCAGAACCCCGGGGCAAGTTTGGGATAATCCCTATGCCTCTTAACTAACTCCAGTCTATTTTTTTCCAAGCTTATCGCCTCCCCTGGACGCAGGCGTCGCAGAGAAAGTCTGAGTTGATTTACATATTGATCCCTTGTTCGCTTGCTGAAGCTCGGAGGTTTGGGAGGCATCAAAGCGCGAGGATAACATGTTTACACCGGAATGGTGACTTGTAAGTAACGTGCAAACAGACACCTCTGAAAAAAGGACATTTAGGAGAAACAAACACGCCTTTGATGCTGATTTTCTAAACCACCGAGACGTGATTTCAGGGTTAGGACAGGCTATAAATGTATCCAAACAAAGCGCATGAAACACGGAGATAAGTGAGCCTAAAAGCTGCTTTAACTCACAGGGGAAATGAACTGATCAGTTTCCCTAAGAAAAATGTGCTTCAGTATTTTTAGAACAATGACAGTATTGTTATATCTCTTTGTGGTTCAGGTATATTTCTTCCAGGGAAAATATAAAACACATTTAGATGCCATTTTCAATAAGGCACTCTTTATAAAGACTCCATTATTGGTTAGTACATCATTTGCAAGAAGAGATGTGAGCCATGAATTAAACAGCTGTTTATCTCCAATAAAGGCTCAATAAAATATTTCTAGTCATAAATCTGCAGCTTTCAATGTCAATGAGGTCATTAATACTAAGGTTCACATGTTTTTCCATTTGTTATAACCCAGAATCATGAGTTGTAAAGTTATATATAACTTGTAGTTCATCACTTCAAAAAATTGCAAATGTTTAGTTAAATGAATGGATTGTTATCCAGATGCCCTTTTAAACCCTTTTTAAAAAGGGTCAGAGGTCATGTGGTCCCATGAGTAGATCTCCCTGATGAACTACAAAGGAAGTGACCACATCGGAGGAGGATAAAGACCATGCAGAAAGATAAACCAAAATTTGTACTGATGGATTCATGAAGACCTTTTTATCTGATGAATCAACAACAAAGTCATGAGTGAAGTCAAACTTATCATACTGACATTTGCAAAAAGACAACATATAGTTATATATCCATGTGACATTTAGAACAGAATGTTTGTGAGATTTGTACTCTACTCACCCAGAACACTTTCCTCGAGACGGCATGGACTCCTGCTGTGTCTTTCTACTCTCTACACCTTTTAATTCAGGCAGTAATAAAAAAAGGAAGGAAAACAATATATTAAAAAAAGCCAGGTGGATATTTTGTTTAAAGCAGGACTTCCTGGAGAGCAGAGCGATGCGCACAGCGTGGCCTAGTGGCTCCCCCATGGCGACATACAGGGGCAGGAGGAGGATCTGTATTTTCATTATATTTTTAAATGAACTTTTCTTCAAAACAGTGTGAGCATGACAGGCCTGCATTTCAATCTCTGATAAAGATTTTAAAAAGGTTTTCCTGGCAGGGATAAAAATGTCTAGCCCATAGGCCAACATTAGTTCTAATGTATTCACAAGTATTAATACACGAATCATGTGATTCTTTATAAGAACAAGTTCCTTTCCTCCACAAAGTCTGAATTATCATAAGTCTGCCATAATAGATCTTATACCAACATTTAAAGAAATATGAAGCCTAATTTATCTATCTATCTATCTTTAAAAAACACACACACACACACACACACACACACACACACACACACACACACACACACACACACACACACACACACACACACACACACATACACACACACACACACACACCAAACGACCAGAACCACACCATGAAAACACTTAATTCATTCCTGATTTCTTATTCCTTTCCGTTAATTTGACACAAAACAAATACTATACAAATAGAAAACATAAACAGTTGTTTTTAACTGCCCTTTTAACCCAAATAAAACAAACAGTAAATAAAGAGTGGCAAAGCTTACATGATCCAGGTTTCCTTTCAAATATAAACCAGGCTACAAAGGACTGCATTTTTCAGTTATGATTTAAAGAAGCCGGGACAATAAAGGGTCAATAAACAAGTCTTCAGTGGAGTATTTAAAGACTGAATTTAATTTGCCTGAATTTCCCTCAGATTGCTATTTCACATTTAAAAAAACATCCATTTGAATCTCACTCTCACTCTCTCTCTGACTCAGAGGACAGAGGACACACAGGAGTGTCCAGTAGGGGGAGACACTCCATCACAGACCCTCATATCAGACCCCCACCTGCTGATGTTCCTACATGTGTTCAGACTCCAGGGGGCAGCTGNGAGGTGGGGGTGGGGGGATCATCCTGCAGTAGTGCACTCACAGGGGGACCACCTGGGAACCATGGAAGGGTTCCCACTGGGAGGCAGTGGATTGTTTTTCACTCCATGTTGGATGATATAACGCAGCGGTTCCTGACCTGCAGATCAGGACACAAGAGGACAGCAAAGCAGAAAAGAACACCTTTCTATTGTACATCATTTTGTCTTTTAGATGTACCTCCAATTGTTTACCTAATTTTTTTGTGATCGCATTTTCAGATGAAACAAAGCAAAAATAAATAAGAAATTGTTTTGTTGAACTGGTTGCAACCTGTAGGCTTAATATGCAATCATTTGAGGTGGCGAGGCGACATAGCTTTGTTTAAAGGGATCGCAAGCAAATGTTTCAGAATCACTGGTTTAATATCTAAGGAGGTTTTTGTTAATAGTTCTGTTATTTTAAGTTCTGGAAGCCATATCCATTATGAATTCCCTTTTCCTTAGTGAAAGTGGATTTCTTTGGCGAGAGTTTTTTGTCAAATGTGCTTTACATTGAAAAGTGATCTGTGACTTTCTCCTGTTATTGTGTTTCTGCCCCTCTGTGAACTATTTTAATTCCCAATGAGTGACCTTATCTTCTTCTATCCAATCTTCTGACAGTGTAACAAAAAAATCTTTATTTAATTGTTCCGGCACTTGAAAAATAATAAAAATATGATGTACATTTCTCTGAAATTCACACTGGCATATTTAGTACTGATTGAAAAATTGTGATTAAGAATTGAATTAAAGCTATGTGATCTGGGGTAACTGCTACAAAACTATAACTCAGAGGGTTGTTTTTAGTAGTTTATTGTCATTTTTTCTTTCTTGCTACTCTATAATTTTAATTCATATATATAAATTATTACTGATTGTTAATAATTTGTGTATTCTTTACATTTTTCAAATGTCATTTTCACATTATTTTACAACTTACAATACATTTGAGACAGTTTAACGCAACATTTGATCCATGAGTAACATAAAACAAAGTCTATGACTGGCTCAGAATTACTCATGGTTGCTGGGTTTACGTTAAACATGTTTTCCCACATCAGTTTATTCTCATTTCTTCGTTATTGTCTGCACACACTTAACGTCCTTTGCCTAAGTTCACCTCATTCTGCCCTGTAATGAAAGCAGATAGGGCTATTTAATGGATTTATAAACCTTTAATCTCAAACAGTTTTATCTTTCTGTCCCGCTTCACATTAGGATTCCTCAGGAGCCAATCGGAGGTCTGTCTTGCATTTGGATGCCCTTGACATGGAAAAGTTTGGGACTCCCTGCTGAAAGCCGGGGCTTTAGCTGTTGTGGAGCTTTTTGAACACAGATATACATATATACCCTATCATGCTCTCTCTCTCCCCTTCTTGCCTCTGCCTGATGTAGTGTGACAGTGTGTTTGCCCGCAGCACTCTGCTGGCGTGGAAACAATCAGCTTTGACAGAAAGGGGGTGGTGGGGTGGGGAGGATAGAGGGAGGTAGAGGAGTTGGGAGGGATGAAGGGAGGGTGGAGGGGTGGAAGGGGGGAGGCTGCGGCCCGGGGCCTGTGTATGATGAACTGGATAGAAAGACCTGTCGTCAGAGGAGAAACACAACACATAGAGGGGGATATATAGACACATATACATATACAGACACACAGATAGATAGATAGATATATAGATAGATGGATAGATGGATAGATATACAGATAGATAGATGGATAGATGGATAGATAGATGGATAGATATAGATAGATAGATAGATATATAGATAGATAGATAGTAAATACAAATATTTACGAATATAAGCTTTATGAAGGCTGTATTGTATTACTTTTGCACAAAGAGTCCTTTATTCTTTAAATGAACAACTAAAACAATAGTAACTTTAATTACATTTAATGCATTTTTCAATTAATTTGCTCAAAGTTATTTGCTCTTATTATTAAAAATATTTTCTGTAAAATACGCAGCCATGACAAGTTATATGAAACTATCCTAAACAATAGGTCACAGATATTTTAAAGCTTGATGGATGGATGTTTTAAGGAAGTGTGCTATTGTTGATCTTTTCTTTATTCTGGTACATTTTGTTGTTGTATGGTGTGTTTTAAAATAATAATTAGTATAGTAAAATATAGTGTTTGGAAAAAAACTAATGGTATATAATGTTAAAGACACCCACCCTGAGTTCAAAGGAAAAAACTCAAATGTTTAAGGTGTAATTCAAAGAGTACGGAGAAAGTTCCCATATTAATTACACAAAAGTGACATTTACATGTTTAATTACATGTCTCATTGTACTGAACTGTTAATTATAATTGTTGTATTATTTTGCTCATGCCTGAAGAGACAAGTTATTACATTAAAAATAATTAACAGCCTCATCAACAAGAGTTTTATAAAATCTAATTGTTCTTGTCAACCATCATGCTCTAATTTGGCTTAATTTGAGCCTAAATTGAAAACCGTGGATAAAAAACGACACATTCTTCAAACATTAATTGACAAAGAAGACAAAAGCAGGTCAAATCCTCTTTGGAAATGTGAAACTTTATTAACTAAAACACCTAATAATGTATTGTACCAACCTGTTGACTGAGACAGAGAAGCACACAGCGTTTCAGGCCTCCGTGACCCCGGTGTCAGTCACACACTTGACTCTCTCCACTAATTCAGTTAAAGCAATCGGGTCCATTAAAGGGGCCCCTCTCAGGACGCAACATTTAGTCAGAGATTGATTCCTGGACTTAAAGCTTGTGTGTGTGTGAGGAGGAGGGGTGTGTGTTAATGGTTCAGCTGCCTCGTCTGCTATAACCAGCTAATAAATATGAAAACAGCAGGTTAAAACTTTTTTATTCGTCCCGTGCCTGAAAGGATTATACCCTTCTATAGAGTCCCGTGGAAAATCCCCCAAACCTCATAATGCCCAATGTTGTCCCATAAAACTGTGTTGGACAAAAGAAAGAGAAAGGGGGCTTTTTCACGCATAAGGGGTTTTCTCAAGAGCACATTGAGAGGAGCCCCGGCCCGGACCCGCCCATAGATTATCTGGCTGTCGGTGAAAGAGCGGCTGGGAGCGGCAGGTGCGTGTGCCAGGCACGGGGGTCGCGGGGGCCCGATGACCATGCAGAGGGTGGTGGACTATGGAGAATGCTAACGCAGCTGCCGGCAGGAATGTTTGCAGATTGTCACTTCCATTTAACTTGCTCTTTTTCTTTTTGTCTCACCCTTCCTCCCCCTCAGAGATGGAGCACGGTCCCCCCCACTTTCAAGCCGCGGAGAGGGCTAAACGGTGACACCCTGTCCACAAAAGCGACAAGCGGCGCGGGTCGTCTCCGCCTCAGCACCGTGAAATCATGGATTAAACTGATAAGCAGCCAGAATGATACACATCCCACATTTTTTGAGCGAGTTTTATTGAACTAAGTGAGTGCCAAGTAACTCACGAGGCAGGGTTAACGCACTCTTTAACTCCGTCTCTCTTTGGTCCCCAGAGGCTTCTTTCATACAGGTTATTGGATTGCAGGTTTCTGAAGCGCACGGATCAACATATGGTGTTCTGTAGATGAAGCTGAAGCTCTTTAATAATGTAGCTCATGAATTTATCCCCGCAACTTTGCCAAAAAATGTATCAAATAACAAAGAATGCAAATTGTATAAGCTTTTGTCATGTAGGCCTCTTATGAACGCATCCCCTCTTATCTTAATTTTCATGCATTCAAAGTAAAATCTTTGTATTACTACCAGAATTAATTTATCAGAGAAGATAGTCTTCCCATGTATTGACACACGCAGGCTGTCTTTGCCTGGAAATGGCCCCTTTGCACCAACCCTTGGTGTCTAATCTCTGTCGTCCAAACTGTGTCCCCTTTCCAAACTGTGGCCTAAGGCTATGTGTGGGTCCGCTGCATAATCCCCCTCAAAACTCTGCAGTCCCTTTTATTCCACTGGGGTTTGGCAAAAGTGCAGCACAACACGGCTTTTTCACACCATCTTCTCGCAAAAAGGGGATTAATGTCGCCACCATTATGAATAATGAGAATGAATAACAAACAGCCGTCTGTTTATCCCGCATGGTTAAATAAAGGAAAGAGTGTCCTTGTGCTTTTTTATTGAACAGTCTTTAGGGTGTTTTTGGAGGTGACAGAATGGGATGAAATGTGTGAGTTAAGTTACCATCTGATGCTTCAGGCCAAAGTACTGCCACTGAATTTATCTCTTAATTAATGTTGAAACAGAGAGCTTTAGCTTGTGTATGTTTTGTATGCATAGAAGACAACAAAAGATCAGACTGATTCCACAGAAATGGAAACATGGTGTTAATATGTGCTCATGAAAAAATGAATAGACATTAATGTATCAATGTGTATATTTGAGTACTTTATGCACTCCTTTTCCTGACAGTTAAGACCTTCTTGTTTAGGAATACAGTTTACACAAAGAGATAATTAAATTATATAAAAGAGGAAAATACAAAAATATGTTTTCTTTGGGTTTCAATAGTGACCTTAGTGTTTCTGAAAGAAAATACTGCATTGTTCATGAGGCAACATAAGCTCTTAGGAGAATTAAGACAGTCAGTCAGTGTGACCAAAACAACTTGTAATAATGAAAACTTGTGATCTTAAAAGGAGACCATAACAATAAGACATTCTTCCTTTCACAAAAGTCTAATGAATTCTAACCAATACATTTAGGAGGTTTCCTGCAGCAGCCTTTACCAGTCCAGTATGACCAATTGATTGTTATCTTTTGTTAGCTCATTTCAGCTATTGTTATCTTTTGTTAGCTAACTTTAGATATTGTTAGCTTATGCTAGCTATTATTATATTGCCTTAGCTAATTTTTGCTATTGTTATCTTTTATTAGCTCATTTTAGCTATTGTTAGCTATTGCTATTTTATGTTAGCTGTTAGCTATTGGTAGCTTTTGTTAGCTTCAATTCACTGGCTTTGTGACTTTTCTCTACCATTAAAGTACATAGACGTATACACTGTGTATATTTAAGCATTGATACCCTTAGATGCATGAACGACCAATACCTACACTCTTCCATGAGTGGGGTCAAAAATGACCCCAATTAGAATCAATGTGTTTTTGCAATGAATTAAAAAAAATGTCTTTAATTTTGGTTAAAGGTGATTATATTTATTATATTCGGGTCAACAAAAGACTGATTTTACATTTAACATGCTTATTTATAACTTTTTATAAAAACAATTAGATAGCTACATATTATATGTAAGTAAAGGCACAGCCATGCATGTGTACACACACACACACACGCACACACAACACACACACCACACACACACACACACACACACACACACACACACACACACACACACACACACAAATCAATAATCATATGATAGGTTACCTAACAGGTTAGCTTTTATTAGAAGGAATTATGAATACAGTGAGTCTCTACACAACAAATGCAGTAATATCAGCTGGCTTACTAAACTAGTGTAATGTTAGCTAGCTTAGTAAGCTAGTGTAATGTTAGCTAGCTTAGTAAGCTAGCTAACAGAGTACTAACATTACTACTAACATTATTTAGCAGTTAGCTAACTAGTGTCTACTTTGTTGACCAACATGATACTCTATCACCGAAAAGTCATGGAGTTGATAAATGAAGATAATACTTAGATGTATGCTGCTGTGTCAAACTGACCTGGTGGGTGAGACTGCAAGCATCAATGTGTAAGTGCGGACAGGAAACTGTNTGACCCCTCCCCCACGGCTCCTTTCCCCCAACATTATGACCCCTCCCCCACGGCTCCCTTTCCCCACCTCAAACGTTCATTGTGGCCTAGGTGTTATTTGTATTTGAGTAAACCGATATTGAAGTAAAAAGGGTTATGATCTCACCAATGCTAAGCTAAATGTTGCTAACCTCTTCGTCTTCACTTTCTCACGTCATTGAGTTTCTGCACAGATTTAAAAACCTCCTCACCGATGAGCACCTTTTTATATTTACTCTTCTTTGTAAAGTTTAACGCTGCCTTTTGAACAAATGTAAAGCTGCTGTAAGTACGGGGTTCATCTCGTGTCTTCGAAAACAAATTTGCAAATTAAAACGAAAATTGGTCAGAAATTAGTTTTTCTTGCAAAAGATATTTCATTTCAGTTTCAATCGTTTTTCCCACAAAGCATTTTTTAAATTGCACAAAAGACCAACAAGTCTTTAATTTCTGAAATATAGAACATGTTACCTTAACGATTTTTCTGTGATTAAATCCCCGCTCTGAATTACCTGTAATCTCTCCTCGTTAACCTGACCAGGTGTCTCCCTCTCCTCGTTAACCTGGCCAGGTGTCTCCCTCTCCTCGTTAACCTGGCCAGGTGTCTCCCTCTCCTCGTTAACCTGGCCAGGTGTCTCCCTCTCCTCGTTAACCTGACCAGGTGTCTCCCTCTCCTCGTTAACCTGACCAGGTGTTTTCCATCCAGAAGTTTCAGCTAAATAAAATCTATTTATTGATTTAGTATTTATTAGACGTATGACAGCGGCCCGTCGCCCGAGCGTCTCCAAACTATTCCACTAAATGTTTTTTATTCACTCGCCTGCTGAATATTTTTTTTGTACGTTTTTATATTGAGTTTTTCTACAAAGCTGTTAAATCTGTGCTTTATTATCTAAATTGTGCGATGGAAGCAGACGGATATTAAAGATGATGACTTTCTGTATGAACACACTTTTATACGAACAAGAACACATGAAGACATTCGAGTTTAACATATTTGTATTTATTGTTTGAAAAAATAAAATAAAGAAGCTGTTTTATACATTTGTGAGATGTTTCTTTTTAAAGAGTCCTGATGTTCAGGTGTATATCAGTATGTAGTGTCTCTACTTTAAAGAGTCCTCTCCTGCTGATGTTCAGGTGTATATCAGTATGTGGTGTCTCTACTTTAAAGAGTCCTCTCCTGCTGATGTTCAGGTGTATATCAGTATGTAGTGTCTCTACTTTAAAGAGTCCTCTCCTGCTGATGTTCAGGTGTATATCAGTATGTAGTGTCTCTACTTTAAAGAGTCCTCTCCTGCTGATGTTCAGGTGTATATCAGTATGTAGTGTCTCTACTTTAAAGAGTCCTCTCCTGCTGATGTTCAGGTGTATATCAGTATNAAAAAAGAAAGGAGAGAGGGAGGAAAGAGCATCCAGCAGAGCAGGGAGCTTCCTCTGTGCTGTCAAAGCCTCTGGATCATGTCCCCATTGGTCTCTCTCTCTCTCACACACACACACACACACACACACACACACACACACACACACACACACACACACACACACACACACACACACACACACACACACACCCAATTGCTCCCTTCTCCCTCAAACCAACCTCCCTCCCTCCCTTCCCTCTCATGAAAAGAGTGTCTTGGCAGGGTAATTAAGAATGGCCTCTAAACACAGGAGAATGGCAAGAACGCTCCAGATGAAAGTAAATGATTAAAATAATTACAGGCTGAGAGCTGACGAGCCGGAGTGTGGGGTGGCCGCCGGACATTTGTCGGTAATTAGATAATTAATCTGAATGCAAATGATGAGCCCTAACGAAGCAGTCAAGCTGAACCAGCGACAACTGCCGTGAGTGAAATGTAGGGAGAGAGGAAGGGGGGGAGAGAGGGGAAAAAAGCAAGAGGGGAGAGGGTAAAAAAAACAAAAACTCCCCTAAAAAGATCTGCATGAACAGACTCAAAAGCCAAGCAACAGCAGCATTGTAAATCAATAACTGTTTTTGGCAGCTCCAAAACACTCTACTTTCAGTGACAAGCAGACATGAATACCTTGTTAAAAATATGCAGAAAAAAGAGGCAAGCCACCATGTGTTGTGCTCTGCAAAAAAAAGTTGAAATATGTCTCGTCTCCCAGGCAGCTGAAATGCCAAATGAAGGGTAAGAACATGAAACGGCACCTGAGGAAGAAAACAGAGCAGGCTTTGCAAACCCTAAAATGCGTGAGCAAATTGTTGATTTACTCACTCGCTGCTACACACTCATAAGTCTCTTTTGCTCACACACACACAAATACTATCAATTCAATTCAATTCAAAGGGGCTTTATTGGCATGAAAGTTAAATTAAACAATGTTGCCAAAGCATCACAATACAAAATAATTAACAACATTAACATACATTTCAAATGTTTACATATTATTGATGTATACAGTGATACAATTACATTTCAATATCAGCACGTGTACGTGATTTCAGCAGATGTAAACAAGCAACTTCATAGTTTATAACGTTTTTTTTCAAGTTTTGTACAACAGGTGAAGATATAACTTGTCAGCATCCTAAAACTACGCTGGGTGACTGCTTTAAATGTATATAAATATCTTCTGGTTTTATTTATTGTGTATGCACTGTGGCGTTGTTTTAATTGGGTGCTGTAAAACAACTAAGGGTTGAATAAAAGCTGGAATAAAGAGCATCTGGGAAAAAGACTTCCAACACCAGTATGAATCAAGTGGCTCCCAAAACGTGCAAAAAAGATCGAATGAAATAATAATAAAATGTCTAAATATATTTTTTGAATAGTAAATGGAAGAGCATTTGTTTACTTCGGCTTTTAAGTACTGCTAGATTTACTGAGTTGTATTACAAATACCAAGACAATACTAAATCACTGGAATTTCCAATTTCTTTACTTACAAGATATTCCCCATGCACATTTATGAATACAAATTGAAAAACATGTTGCATTCAAAGCCCAGCAGTAGTTGTTTCTGTCCCTTAATAAGACCCATAATGTCTAAGATAAAACTGTTGTAAAAGATTATTATTACAACATCAAGAAACCCTACTTTAAATAGAAATGATACATTTTTGTGATGTTGAAATTGTAAGAGCCATGATAACCCTTTGGTTTTATGAATGAAAGTTGGACCTGCATGAATCCATTCCGTTGATCTGAGAGGATGCTGCAGTTAAGAGGCAGACATGACGGTTGATCACTCCCCCTCGTTAGAGCACATTATGCAACACAACCATTTACACCTTTAAGAGACTCTAGAGGAACATGTTTTACCTGTCCACCATTCTCATTAAATCCAGACAGATCGCCCAGACTGCTTCTTCAGTCTGCCTCATTATAATCACTGGAGACCAGTGCTGCATACAGGAATGTGTTGTTAGCATAGACTGTACATATAGACGTTGTGAGACAGAAGCTTGTTAGGGCCCTGCGCAGGTTAACCTCATCACTAACAAGTGCCGTCATTCTCCCTCACAGCTCCAACAGTCACTTTTTAAAGCTCAGAACACTTTTAATTATATTAATGTGTTTTGCATGACAGTCTCTTAACTGCACTCATGTTTCAATATGTAAAGGACTGTGTTGTTGTTTTTTCAAAGCCTGTGCTCTGCAAATTGTTTTTTCATTTTTATTAAATTTGATCTATTACCAAAAACCGACATCTCAAAATGTATTGTTAAGGCAGAATACAAATATGTCTTTAAAATAGACAGTGTTGTCGCTGAAGGACCCTCTAAATCAGGGGATTTTATTTGTTGAAACTGTATTTACAGGCAAGCAAAACAAAATATAAACTTCTTATATTTAAGAAAGGTCAGATGTATTTCTGCTGGTATAAAAACATCCCTTAATACAATAGGTTATCATTACTCAAAATAATGTTTAAACGTTTCAAAACTACAGCTCCAATTTTAGTTTGGTATTCAAAATACAATTAAAACTTTTAAAGCCATTTAAAACTAAGTATATTTGTTTTTGTTTATCTTGGACCTTAAACATGACAGATAGAAGATATTTAAATCACAGTAAAGAAATCTGTATAATGTTTAAAACAAAACAAAGAACAGGTTTAAGGGTTTACTTGTCTACCTAGAACATGTCTCAAACAAACACAATGAGAGCATTTAACTGAACAACACAAAACTCAAAATAATGTACATAACATAAAGCTAGAAATATACAAAAACATGTGTGAATATCAGTGTTGTCCTCTCAGACGCATGTCTGCTAGAACATAGTATGCTATAACAAAATCCTTCAGTCTTTCAGTCACATTATTTACTCCACAAGCAACTCAAACTGCTCTGCCTTTTCATGCTCTTCGTTTACCTGGGCTAAAAGTGCCTCTATCTCTGTGGTGCTTAACTGCTGGACCTTATTCCTCCTTCTCTTCTGCTTCACCACAACTACTCCGGGGATGTTTAGGTCCATCTCAGGTATGGCTGATCCACAGTCAGCCGTGTCAAGCAGAGACGTGAATGAGTTCAGCCCAGACAAGGATCCAGAAAGCTCCAGACCTGCCTTCGGCCTCTCGACTCTCCGGATCACCTGTGGGGTGTTCATGTTCTGAAAGCCGAACATGTTTTCCTTGCAGTCGGGGCTGTTTATGGACTGGTCGCTGAGCCTGCTGTAGGAGCGGCGCACCTTCTGCGACCACACCACGTCCCCTGGTTCCACTGCCGGGGGCTGGGGGTGAGAAGGGCCCGGCGGTGAGGAGGGGAGTATCGGGGAGAGGACAATGGCCTTCAGCTTCTTCTTCTCCGCCGAAGAGGAGCCCCCACGGCCCGGGACAGGATCCGGGGTGGAGACCTTCGGCTTCTTCTGCTGGGCGGGCGTGTTTTCCTTGTTTTTCTCCAACGGTGCGACTGTTTTTCTGGGTGCTATTTTCCTCACAGTAATGGAGCGTTTAGCAGCAAACGCCATTTTGATGTCAGCTTTAACCTGGATATTAGCCGGAGGAGAGCTCAACCGCGGTGACCGTCTTCTCTGTGAGCCGTTGATGGGTTTTAACTCAGCCATTATGTTTTTGGGCGTCCCTTCGTTCATACTGACCGTAAACTGGCGATATAACCGAGTATGTTTAGATGAGTTCTAAACTGTAGAGTAGTATCGCCACAAGGCTGTTACAAACAACTGCAGTCCGCTCAAATTGCCCGCCCGAGTCGCGTTGAAAAGACGTAGTCGCGGTTTCCGGTGACGACAACATCCCGCGCCATCTATCTCAAACTTTTGCTGTGTAATCTGGACAGTCGAGGCTAAAAGGAACTTGTGTGCTATTTCTAGAATATATAGGAATACTTCACTTCTTACCTGTTATACAAAATGGAATATTTAGTCGGGATACAGGGACCGGATTTCGTACTGGTTGCCGCCGATAATGTTGCAGCCAGCAGCATCATTCAGATGAAACACGGTATGACAACGCGTTAGCTTAGCATTAGCCATTATGTCGGTTGATTTTGCTATAACCTGCTAACAACACCTGTTTTTATAGTTCTTGTTCACTCTTAAGCCAGTTTATGTTACTGACAGAGCATGCTTAAATAATTCCACTATCACGTTAGATTGGTGTGTAATATATAAATTATTCTAATATCACATAATTTACTCCTATTCCGAATTGAATTTAAGCTAACAAAGCTAACCCTAGCTAACGTTACGTTAAAGTCGCGGATAATCTTACATATTCTGTTTTTACACAATTTCTTTCCATTGCTCACATTTGCATGTGTGGGCAGAATAATGATTGTGTACTGCACAGAGTTACATATATGTTATGTCTTTTAAATAAATAAATAAGTTAGGTTAGCACTAGCTGCCAAGTCAGGCTTCTGACAGTGAAAGTGAAAGAGCTTACTGATTTCAAGTTACTCACCCTGGAGTTGCTTAATGGCCAATTTCTGAAACCCTACACTCTATTTATGTTTCAGGGGATATCTTTTTCACAGCCTATACACAGAAACATTCAGATATACATATGAAAACATACATATTTAGATACTACACCACAACTTCATGTATACATGTATTCAATAATCGAATTTCACAACAGTGTCAGCCAAACAGAGTGTGCAGGGCTGCTGAAGTAACACAACTGTTGTTGTATGTCTCACTAGATAAAAGTAATATTTATGTGATGGTGTTTTGGGGGTAAGGGGTTGATCAGGGTAATTTGATATTGTGCTAGGCGTGTTATGACTCTGAGATTCACATCTGAATAACTGGGTATAGGAAGGCAGCACGCACAGGATAAAGACATTGTGGGGTTTTTGTGTTGCTTTTCAGACCAAGACAAGATGTTCAAACTAAGTGAGAAAATCTTGCTGCTGTGTGTTGGAGAAGCGGGAGACACGGCACAGTTTGCAGAGTACATTCAGAAGAACCTTCAGCTCTACAAAATGAGGAATGGTAAGGACCCCTTGGCTGTTAATTCAGCTGTGAAACATTCATTCCTTTTTCTTGAAAGTTTCCTTTATCTCTAGATGTTGGCAAAGTTGCCGTATTGGAAGGCAAATTGTATATGCCAGAGAAGAAGTGACCAGAAACATTGTCTAATATTTTGTCTATTGTTTTTCTCAGGTTATGAACTCAGTCCATCAGCCGCCGCTAACTTCACAAGAAAGAATCTGGCAGACTACCTTAGAAGCAGGGTAACTATTATTATACACACTAGGGCTGAACGATATATCGTGTCATGGCGATAACCGCGATATGCGCATTCGCGATATTCACACCGCAGGGACGTGCGGTTTTATTCATTTTTTTTNCAGTATCTGTGTGTGAAATTGTTCCATCCTCAAAAACAAAAAACTAATGCTTCTGCGTTCTAGCTGCAGCTTCTAGCAACGGTCTTCTGTTAAAAAAAGGACACTGAATGTCCTGAATGTGGCATCACAAATAGGGATGTCCCGATCACCTTTTTTTGCTCCCGATCCGATTCCGATCATTTGATTTTGACAATTTGCCGATACCGATTTTTCCCGATCCGATCTTTATGCAATGCATTAAGAGAAAAAAAAAGCATTCAAGTTGTCCCTTAAGGTTATTTTTTTATTTAAATTGGATATTCTATCCAACATGGATATAGTTTCTTTTTTTCACAGCAGCATTGGATCAGTTCAGTTGTGCAACATTGGATCAAAACAAAATAAAGCTTTCAGTACTCGTTAGCTTACTGCTACTATTAGACACTGCGCCCTGCCCACTCTGTTGCCAGATTTGAGAGAAATAAGCAACCAGGTCTATGAAAACAAGCCCCAAAGAAGCAACACATACATGATGTTGTGTAATTTGAAACCAAAACTAAGGCCTCAGGATGACTTTAAGACTTGAACATGGTCATTTTTGTTTTGTAACATTGAATAAAAAAAAGTATTTATAAAAAATAAAAATCCCGATCCCCGATTTTTTTCTTCCGATCTTTTGAAAATCACGTGATCGGCTCCGATCACGTGATCGGATCGGGACATCTCTAATCACAAACATGACTTGAGTCTGAACACAGCAGACAACAGGAGTATTTACAACAGCATATAAAAACAAAAAATAGTGCATGTGGGTGCACACTTACATTCTCTGTCTTACTGTTACATAAATCCCATGATTGTGGGAGATTAAGTTGGCTTCATCATCTCAATCAGTGATTAAGTGAATAATAAAGTTTATATCAGGTTACGATCAGCCTGTCACTCATTATTTTCAGGGCGGGTTTGGAGGAACAGAGGAGACGGTGATCGCGGAAGCTTTCCTCCTGCCTTCACAAACTTTACACACGTATCGTCTGAAAATAGCAAGAGGACATTCATACTCTGCAATCCAAGACTTAACTAAATCCACCAAAAACCTGACATGATTGTAACGCGAGTATTTCTTTAAAACATAAATCCCTGTGTGTCTGAGCCGCAGTGACACGGACTGATTCAGAGCGGGTCCTTCTGCTGTTGGTTCTGGACTGGTGTTCTTGTGTTGGTGGATAAAGCAGACTGCTCCGTGTTTGGTGTCCATGTGCCGTTCTCACGTCTGTTCCCTGATCTCTGCGTCACCGACCGAATTGATATTAAAGTGACAGGAAAAAAAACGTTATTGTAAAGCCGCGGCCGTAGAATCAGGAAGCAACGTTACTACGCTATAATCGATTATGTTCTGTCACTGCATCGATGCAGAATCGTCCGCATCGCGATGCATCGTAGAAACGATTAATTTCAACACCCCTACTACTAATACAACACAGTCAACACAGCTTATACAATTGATTTTTAATGTTATGAAATATAACAGCTACATATCATTTGCCAATTCAGATGAGTGTCTTATGACAAAACAACTTAAAGAGGTTAGAGACACCAGTGAAGAAATGTGTAGGAAAATGTAGGAAAATTATGCATAAACTAGATTTTCAAAAATATATACATAAATATACACTACAGTGACATCTGGCGTCGTTTTTGTAAGACATTTTTACTTCCGCATAAAAAAAGCCTCCCCACGTGACCTCCCGCGTGTGACGCAACATGGGGGAGGGCGGCCGGTCTAACGTATGAATAAACATGGATCACAATGCTAGTTTTGACACAGAAGAGGTTGAAAATATATATTCGAATGCATATGATTATAATTATGAGCCTGCTAGGCGTCCAAGAGACCAGGAGCAGCCAAGGATTAGAAGAAATAACGGCCATCGGAGAGAAATGGAGCTTTGGTGTGTGGAGAACCAGTGGAGAACAGAGCAGCTTTCTTGGTGAGTGACCGGCGTTAGCTACAGTTAATGTTAGCTAACGTCAGTCACATCACAACATTCTAAAGTTAGCAATCATATATCAGTCAGGCTATAACTAAAGTAGTATTGATAATATAGTAACGTTACTGGCAGGACTGTTGATACCGATCCATAACAGAAACGAATGAGCAAGTATCAGCCGTATCTCGCGTTACCTAACCTTACCGGAGAGAGAGAGAGCAGCGAACCCCCCTTCGCTCCTCTCTCTCTCCCCTCCAGTACGCGAGATACGGCTGATACTTGCGCATTAGTTTCTGTTATGGATCAGTATCAACAGTGTAGAGTATGTGCTGCAGGGAGGTGGATGCACCTCGCACAACGCACCCAGGAACAAAAGCTAGCTCCGGTCCTTTTCCTGTTAGGGAAACTGTGGACTCGATGTCCTGACAGGCTCGAGTTTGTGCAACCTGCACAAACACAAGCTCATTTGAAATTGTTGTCTGAGATAATGTGTTTCTGTTGGCACTGGTAGTTTCTAAATACGATGGTCTTTTACTCTCAGCCCATTAAACAGCCATCAGCTTCCTAAAGCTGTGGTAGTAACTTTGATCTCTTTGAAATGTTTCCTTCGGGAAGATATTGTTTGTTTTACAGTTTGATGAGAGATAGGACAATTATCATAACCATAGTGTGGAGCACATATCTGGTTTGAACCTCATTTCTGCACACTCAAGAGAAGATTTCTTCTGGTTGGTCCACTTTAGGTCCTCACAGCAACTAGCCAATACAATTATAGTAGGAGGGTTTTGATAAAGAATGAAATCGCTTTGATAGTCAATCAGTTCCTATGCATGTATTTTCTTATTTAACAAGATAATCTCTACAATTTAACACACTTTTTAACAGAATAAGTAACCCGTTTCTCAAAGTTCCCACCGGCCAAAAGGGTTTTCTAGATATAATGGCGCAACCAGCAAATTAATTCACCATATTTTGTTCTACTGTAATATACAATTAGTTTTTATTAAACTGACTGATATGATTGTGTGATATTCCAAAGAGGGAACTTTTGGATTTGAGCCCTTGAAGACCATTTACATGCACACAAAAAAACCATAATAAGATATTTTTCAGACCCATTGCAAAAACATTTAACATCTGTATCTTGTATATTTCCCCAGTTAACAAAACAGTATCTTATGAATCCTCTGTACTAGTCAATTAAGCATATTCATTATACAGTAATTAGTGAACAAACCTATACATATTTTAATTTCTATTTCTACTTAATTACAATCCTCTGTTTGCATTTGCAATCTCATTTAGCTGCAGGGAACCAATGATATAATCACAAATTAATTTAAAAAGTAATACTCACTTCACTCAAATGACAGCGACGGTAACATATGAGGAAGGTTTACTGA